AACAGTTGTTGGCATCTGTTAATCTCAAGAAGAGTTAAGACACAGGTGATTGTGATGGTGTTCCTCGGTTGCTGTGGGTGTTTGCCTGCCTTGTTGAAGGACAGGTTGTGCTGGTGGTGTACCCAGAACACAAGGAAGAAGGATGTATTTAGGGGCATTAAGCAGGTGGGTGGCAGCAGAAAATACCTTAGAGCAAGGGCCTTGTTACAGTCCGTGTAACAGGTGCCCAGGCCACAGGTAAGCCACCACCAGGGGAAGTGGATAAAGGACTGGTCTTTGGCCAGTAGCAGGTATTGCTGTGTGTGCTGTTTCACACTGTCCATTGGAATTGGTGGGAACAAATGAGGGAAAGCTGTTGGAAACCAGCACTGCCACTCAGAGCTGTTGAAAGGTGAGTGTGGGCCATCAGGTGAATGCCAGCTGATCGCACAGCAGGCTCAGTCAGTGGTCTCTGGCTTTCCTCAACAGGCTCTTTTGAACAGCATTTTCTGCTGATTTAGGGACAGAAAATTATGACAGCAGTATGTTATGGCTGGTGCGTTGCCCGTTGCACTCCGATCACCATAAGCTGGGACATGCCCGCAGGGGCTGAGTTTCCAAGCGAACAGGCAATGCCATGCCTTAGGTGAAGCATTGTCCTCCCACTGTGGCCACAGAGTGTGTGGCTTCATTGCTTGGGCTGAGTGTACAGTGCCTAGCTCAATGCCACAGCAGTACTGAGGCCACAAGAGTATTGAAAGCAAGGGGTAAGCTTAAAAGAAAAAAACAGATGCATTCAACTTTTAAGAAGCTTCAAGCTTTGTGAAGTCTTCTGACTCTTGAGAAGTTGATCATGTCTTTGCCTCTGCATGTTATGGTTTAGACACACACTCAACCCCTGCTTGTGTGCTTCAACTTCATATAATCACGGCAGATGGTCTGATTGGTAGGTGACAGACACAACAGTAAAACTCACTGTCCACTTGTCAGAAGTTGTTCTGGGAGGGGGAACAGAGTAACTGCTCACTGTCAATGTAATGCAGAAGGAACCAGGTTCAAACAGTAAGGCACAAGGAGGTGGGTCTGCAGCAGCAGTGCTCTCCACAGTGGGATGAGCACTGGTAAGACCTACGTGCTCAAAGGGGAGCTGTGTGGTACCACGTTCAAGGAAGAGAAATCCATTCCCATAACAGCACCATGAAACAATGGCTTAAACTGTTCTGAGCCACAAATGGTGACCGACAGAGCACTTGAGGCAAATACTGTCCTGTTGTTACCAGTTCCTCCTGGCACTGCTGGAAATGAGGCACTAGCTGGAGGGACCTTGGGTCTGATCTGAGGCAGCCGCTCACTGCTGCTGTGCAGAGATTAAATCTCTGTACTGCAACTGGCAGGCACAAAGGTAGTAACAAAGCAGGCAGAAACCTCAGCAGTTACACAGGAGCAGCTGTTGAGAGGGCTCTTCCATAGCACTAGATGAAGCCAAGATGCAAGAATGAGAGCAAGTAGTAGGAAACATTAGATGAAACTAAGTGGATTTTTGATGGGATTGAAGGCTCTGGCACCAGTGTTTCTTTTGCAGTGTTTGCAATGGAATGACCACATAATCCACAGGACTAATTTAGATTTTATTCTGGTATTTCTCAAATATAAAAAGTCAAAATTCTTACATCAATCTTTAAAGAAAATCCATGCAAACAGGTCAAAATGTTTACAACTCAGTTTGCCCCCACCCTCCCCCCACCCCTTCCCTTCCCTCCTCACTTCACAAACCATGTTGGTAAGTAAAACAAGTGTTGTCCTCAGGGGTATTTCACAGCACACTGTTAACAGACCAATGGTAGGCTAAGTCAGGGGTGCAGTAAGCACCAAAGTAAGATTTTGCACTTTAACAGCCTCTCCGCAGTACCTCAGCATCTCCTGCAGTGGTTAAAGCCACCTCTGTTTCACAAGATTCTGGCTCCACACAATGTTAAACGTTAAGGCTCGCTCTGTTTGATACCACCATAATCTAACTCCTGATAGGCTCAAAACGTCACAGCCAGGAAAAGCAGCAGGGCAGACCAGGCTTCTTGAGAACTGCAGTTCATGACCCATCTCTTCCCTTTCTCTTGGGGAGAACCAAATCTGGACACACTGTACATGATTTCTGTCAAGAGAAAAGTCCCAAATCTGTTCTGTATGAAACAGGTTTGGCCCATCTGAATAGAGATGCACGTAAAACCAAAATGCTGCTACATTTAAATTGGTAGGCAGCAGAAATAACTAACTTTAGATTTCCTCTGCTGATTCTTACACAGACCGTTTTGGTTGAAGTTCAGTGTCAAGATTCCATTAGGGGTGAAGCTGTATCACTGCCTGGTTACTACAGTCGTTCCCTGTAGTATGACTGAAGTGTTTTCAACTTACCTTTTCAATTCACAAACTGTTTCTCTTTGAAAGGGAGAAGTCAAAACTAAGCAATAGAGCTTCATTCTGAAGGTTGCATAGAGACTGAAGAGATTTATACAACAAATGCTGTTAAAAAAGAAAGATGTCTGGCACTATTGAACAGCTCAAATGTGTGTGACCAAAAAATAACCAAAATATTTATAGGCAATCAACTCAGTTTGTTAGCAACAGCAATACTGTACATTTTTACATTATTATCAAATACATAATTCAAGAGTTACAAAATAAGATCATGCATTACCACTAAATCTCATACAAGCTTGGATTGGTTTCATTCCAAGAATGTGAAATTGAGACAGAAGCATTTTATAAGAACTCAAACTCTGGATTCTTGTTTTAGCTTTCACGGATTCTATATAATCTTGTTACAAGAAAGCCTGTACAAGTTTGCTCAATTTAAAGTGTTAAAATGACTACTGAACAAAGAAGTGAGCAAAGTGATCAAAAAAGGGAGCTAAATGATTCACTCTTTTAAAGGCAGCTTCAGAGCCAGAGGTACCCTTAGACACTGGGGGCATGATTTTAACAACAATTAGATGTTCTTCAATATGCTCAACTCCACCTCTTTTTCACCTGGCAAAAACAGTGCTTTTGATCAACCATTTCGTTTAAAGAAGTGAGCTGAGTACACGGTGCCCCAGTCTGAATGTGTAAGGTACCCGTGTGCTTGTGCGCACTACTGAAATGTCAACGCTCCTTCCCCAGCCCCACCTCATACCCAAGAGGGTGGATAAGCTGTTGGCAATCCTTCGACCCTTAGGTGCACCTGAAGAGACCTGTGTGTTCTCCTCAGGGCTAGAAGTGACCTGGAATTGGAGCTACAGGGATGGAAAGCCGCACCCTATGTGACATTTCAGAAGGCTTCAGCTTTGTGGCTCATGCCTCTTGTCAGTAGTATTTATGCCTCTTCAAAGAGCGCAGCATTAAGAGATCAGATCATCTGTCTCCCTGGTTTCACTGCATTTACATATGGCACAAGATCGGTTTTCTAAGGAGTAACTTGTGGCAACAACCTTTTTTTTTTTCCTAAAAAAGTGTAACAGCACAAAAAAATTCATAGCAGCATTTTACACAATTTGTGTTAAAAAAGTAGAAGTTAACCATTTGTGTATTGAGTAACAAAAGGTTTAAATTACATTTATTTTCCATTTTACACTCACTATTTACGAGTTGGACTATTTACAAAGGTTCAAATGTTCTGTAAGAGTATGAGCTTTACCCAGAATAAACTTCACATGTGAGGTAATGGTCTACCTCAACCTCTGTTTTGGCTGGCTATAGAGGAGGTACAGTCAGGTTTAGATCCTAGAAAAATTCAGAATTAGGATGTTCATATGAATTAGATTGTGTTCTTGTAGAGGAAACCACACACACACATACACAGAGTAATCCTATGGTAAAAACATTAAGACCAACAGTGGATTTACCTTTCATCTTTTTGGCTGAAAAAGAGGAGGAAAATAAGTTACCAGCTGTACCTCATTTAGTCCAACTGACTTTTCTATCAAGAGGCCAGCTTTTAATTCAAGACACTAAAGTGGTGGTAAACCACTAAAACTTGATTTTCCAATTAAGACAGAGGAATATTATTTCTGCATTGGTGTATCAACCCACCTATCTCCAAGCCCAGGAGGCACCACTGCTAGCTTGGGCAAGACACCTCCACACATGCTTGCTAATAGACATTAACCTTACCTCTGTAACATAAGGGTGCCCTGGCCCTTGGGCAGTCTTACTTTCCCCTAATCATTTTTAAATGGCAACCGACTGCAGGAACACCATGTAAGATGCTTCTCATTGAAGATTAGGAGGTTTTTTTTGCCAGGTAATTATACCATGAACAAAACGTGTATCACAATGCTAAAAGGGAAAAATGGGGAAGAAGGATCTACAATGATTCTCATTTAAGTCTTCTGACAGGTCATCAGCTGACCAAGTGATAAGTGCAGTGGATAGTTCTGGTAGTTGCAAGACAAAGTTACTGTTCTTGCTCTAGTTACACATTACATGAAGACTACATAGGACAAGGCAACCTTTCCGATAACTGAGGCAAGCAGTGCTTAGTGTCAGTATCCTTTGCTCTCAGCAGGCATAATGTGATTTAGTGCTTTACTGTCTCACTTACGCATCTCTGCGTCTAACACACCCATTTCCACAAATACTGCCACCTGAAGATCTTAGCGGTTCAGCCAAGGATACCAAATCGGAGTTTAGTAGAAGTCTATTCGCTCAAGCTTTTTTGTAAGCAAGTACTCTTGCTTAGAACTACTAAAACTGAGAAGCCTTAAAATAAGCTGAACACCACTGAGATGCGCATTTTATTTTAGAAGATATGGAAATTTATATACCCGAGTTTCTTTAAAAAGAAAATAAAAAATGGCCTATTAAGGCATCTTAAAAAAATCCTTGTATGGCTTTGGTTTGCTGAGATACTCTTTTACACTGTTAAAAAGGAAAACCATGTTCAAATAAATTTGACATTAAGACACATTCACATATTTCACTTAGAATTGACAGTTATACAGATGCCTACATGTGATCACGGATGTCTCCCCTTGTGATGACATGAATAAAAAGGTAATCCAAATGTTTATCTCACAGTAGAGGGCAACCCAGAAGTCTGTGCAGAAGTGACGTATAAGGAGTTATTATCTGGAAGAGGGGGAACCACAGAGTTTCCATTAGTGGGTGAACAGCTCAGTTTCAGTTTTTCCAAGTACTCTGCATGAACAGGCTTGTGACACTGGAGGACCTTGATGGCATCTTCTACTTTAAACCATTCTCTTTTCCTTCCTGAATGAGTATAATCCACAAAGAAAAACAGTGTTACAAATCTGTAACAGCACCGTTTGCTGCTACCCGATTATTCACTTTCTCTCATTTCTCCTACTTCAGAAGTTCAAGTTGTCAAGCAAAAGATAAGCGTGAAAAGACCTTGAAAGAACACAAGCGATTCACTCAAGCTTACTGAAATGCAGTTAATATTAAAGCCTTTCAGATAACTTCTGAAGCAGATAACTGGTCAGAAGCTCATATGATTCTTCATATGCTCCAAAAGCTACATCCAAGTCCCTACAGAAAATGATGTTATTATTTACATGACTTATTACTGCTCTCCCACATTGCCATGCTGAGCAGAAGACCAATCTGAAGAATGAACATGCATGCATGAAGTTACAGAAGAATTGCTTGGTCTGATATAGAAAGCAGCGTTCTATAATGAAAACATATCCATGTGTGGAATTACTCAGGTTAGCCATATGTTTTAAAAGTAACATACCTTATACAAGAGATGTTTAGGTTAGTTGTAAGACTATCTTACTAAGAAGACTTAAGACCATCTTTCTTATACAAGTCAGTCCTCTAAAATGAGAGGCCTCTGAAAACACTTAGACAAGGTAAAGGATAATATTGTTGAAAATGGGATTAACTATTTTTCATTTGATTTTATAGTGTTACAGGTACTATGCTTTATATTAAGACACCTATAAACCACTTGTTTAAGACCAAGGTATGTGGTCCCACCAGGGCCATTCATCCACTGCCAGTGGCAACTCCCCAGAAGGAAGCCAGCAGTAGCAGGAACAGACCAGAACTGGGCTCACAGGCCCAGTACAGTTCCAGGTACAAAATCCCCTTAAAACAATTTCATTCCTGCCGATTCTGATCCTTTTAAATAATGGACTGATCAGCAGTGTTGCTATATAGGGAAACTGACATGCAAATAAGAGGGTGCACTCCCACAATTTGACAGTATTGTAACCAAACCATTCTCTCTCCTCCTGAAACCGGGCAGTTCTGAAGGTACCCTCAGTTCAATGCCAGTCACTGACACACCAGTGGTGCCAGGCTTATGAATGTAAACACCTCCTGAAAAGGCCAAAGCATAACTAGTCAAGGTAGCATATGATTTTTTTATACCAATTCTTGGTTAACTAAAACTTCAGCTGGACCAATACACTGAATAAACCAAGCTTCTAGAATCTTTACCTTCAACATGGAGGAGCTATACATCACAAAGGATGTTAATCTAACTAAACTACATGAGAGTGGTATCTGTATGTCATATACATATTATGTATATACATATATATACACATACATACACATATATAGAAGAACAGATACCTCAAGGTCAGCACTATCTTTACTGTAAAGTTAGGCTACGGTGGAAGTGAGTACTAGTGATCTCCCCCTCTGCCCCAGGGACTCAGGGGAAGAAGAACCTCACCAAAAATTTCCAAAGATTTTTCTTTCATTTTTCCAAAGACATTTTAAAAACCACCCTGGAGCATCAGGCAGTAAAATATTTTACTTTATAAGGAAAAAATAATTAGTATAATAGTTGGCCTTAAAAAAATATATATCAGCAACTACTAATGAAGTTTGTTCCATCATGATACTTAGAATACCCTAATTAATATGAGTAACGCTATGTTGGAAGTAGCCCTAGCTATATGTGTACAAAAGTGTGGAAGAACAGCATCACAATTTGCAGTAATTTCAGTTTACAGAATAGAATTAGCATTTTCCCAGAATGATATGAACTGCTTCAGAAAATGAAAAATGAAGGCTGCTTAATACATTTGAAGCATATCACATGAAGACAGAGAATGCGTTTACCTATATTAACTGAATCCTCCCAGTCTTCCAGTATTTCCGTCACCGTAAGAACATAAACGTACGTCCTGTGCTTCCGATCCTGGTTCTGCTTGAATGTTAGAAGTAGATGTTTTAATTCTCAGTAAAGAAAAAGTAACTTTCAGACTTACCAAAACTGTAAGATCAGCAATGACTCACCTCTGAAGGATACTTGCCAGTGAAACCCGATTCTTATTTTCACTAGAAGAACATCTGCACTGAGTAGTCCCAGAAGGATGGGAAACCCCAAGTTTTATTTGAAACAACTATTTTATTTTACTTATCTAACCACTACCCAGAAACCAACAAACCTAAACGAGCCCAAGCAAATCTGAAGATCATAAAGTTGTGACCGAACTATGTTCTTGGTCATCCAGTTTAATATAGCAGTTGTCCATTAGTACTGCCCATTACTTATCTTTTAGGTATGTTGCATATTACCCACAGTTTAGTGCAATTGCTAAAACAGTTTCCACAACTCATGTTCCTAAATGACAGGTTATGAAAAAACCTTTGCAGGATGGAACTGCTGCATCATGTGGCTAGGTCATCTACACAGTGCTGGCTATAAAGTTTCACTCGGCAAGCGAGGCAAATTGAATAGCCTATGTTTGCAATCATGACAAACGCACAAATCATTACCATCTGTTCACTCGTCAGATTTGCCACGTTTGCAGCACTAACCAACTATTTAGAAAGCACACTGTTTTGAACAAGGCAAGTCAAATAAACAGCCTGACAGAGGCAGCCTGCTCAGGGCAGGGTCACTGTGCCACAGCCAGCCTACCCAAGGTCTGCATAGACATTACTCCCTGCTTGCTCCAAAGCAGGCTATAGCAGCGCACTGTGAAAGGTGCAACCCGACTAACCAGACCACACTGCCCCTTGGAAAAGGGCTGAGCTCCCAGAAAACCCAGGATCATCTACGATTACAACTATATTAAGAACCAAGAGATGTTACGCCCTAGCTCCCCTTACAAATGGTTATCCTTGTGCCGATAACCATTCCTACTTAACTCTGCTTCACTACACATAATATAGTTTTAAACTGTTGCTCTTTACTAGGAAATAAAAAAATTACTCCAAGACAGTTCTTTGTCAGTGTCAGTACTGAATGGAGTAAATACATCTATAACGTGTATCCTTTCTGGCTGTACGTCTGGAATATGAGGACTCAGCAGCAATGTAATTTCCATCTTTCTCTTAGTTCCATCCCCAGGTTGCAATATGTGGCCCCTTCAATGGTACTATTAACTGCTTGTGGGGCTGTGTTGTGAAACTGAAGTAGGGCCTTGATTTAAGTTAGAAATAATCTAGAAAAATGCCACTTAGACTTTTCTCTCCTCTGGTCTAGACAGCAGTAGATGGCTTTAGAAGAACATACAGCTTAATTATCAAAGCACTGTCATCCCTTGCAGCCTGTTTTAAGGTAACAAGATGATAGGTATCCTGTCTCATTTTGATCTGAGCTAGAAAATACAGAATACTTCTGCAGACTAACCAGCAGAGTTAACACGGACACATTTTAATGTACAGGACCATCCAGGTGAACTCATAAACCCAAAACAAATCAGAAAAGGGGCAAGTACTACTAACTACAGACATGGTCTCCATACTTCACGATAGGAACATCTTAGCACTGTACTGAATAGTCATATATGACTAAGTCATTTTTCACGTAGGAAATCCCTACTGGGAATACACTGCGTCTGAAAGTTGGTTTTATAATTGAACTGTCAATATTCATACCTAACTGCTGCAGTAAGGGACTTTCACCCATCATACAGCACAACACAATTGATCTGAAGACTCATACCTACATTTCTATCATCTACTCCTGTCTAGAACCTGAGCAGAAGGTGGCAACAGCAACACTGAAAGAGAAGTATGTCTAACGCACATCCTCATACTGTCAGTAGTTCAGCATCTGATGCATACTTCAGAATACAAGCTTTGAAGCGCATACTATTGCTAAAGGTCAGATTTATGTTATCCAAAGCCTTAGCTTTTTTAGTGAATCAAAGCCATAATGAAATACTTCATGCATAGCATAATGACTCCATCAATTTAGGTGTGTGAAAGATGACAAGTAACTTCAGCAAAATCTAATCGGAGAGGAAAAGCCAAAACAGTGCCCCCAAAATGCACGTGTGCCATTTCAGACATCCTACACCTTTTAACGTTGGTTTCAGTTTTTTTTTAAACTTCTAGAAGCTGTCTCAGTACTAATTCAATCTTTCCAGGGAAGTTCAAAGTACTTTGAAATCTTCCTATTCAAATCTTTGCAAATCACATAACAGCTACAGGAATTCACCTGTCTGATGTAGCATTTCCAGCAGCATGGCAAAATTGTAAGCAGGTAATACTTAAAAACCCATGCCTGATGTTGTAGTTTATCAAAGCTCACAAAAACCACCCTCCAAACAAACCACAAAAGCATTGTTTTTTACAGATAAAAGAAATAGCTCACCTCAAATATCCCAAGCAGTCTGCCCAGCTTTCCCTTTACTCCAGCCTACAAAACAAGAAAAGGTGTTAACATGTGCTTTTCATCTCAAAATCTAAAATATCAGTTCCAGCCTCCTACATCAGCATACTCCTCCTTGTTAGCATTATTTAACCTAAGTTTTAATTAGACAGTGTGCATTGCTTCTGGGGTCTTGTGTGTTAGGGTACTTGAAGAGTATTAGAGCACAAAAGCTTGTCCTAATGAATGGATCAAAGAATGCATAAAACTTTAAAGTTTTCCATCCAGACCAAAATACTGTTTTACTTACCATGTTCTTTGTGTACTATATTTTATTAAAGAGATAAATGGCACCCAGTACTGAAATAATCCAGGGAAGCAGATAGAACAAGACAGAATTTAAAGTAGTACAATAACAAATCTAGAGAAGGAATCATTAAAACCCCATTGCTATTTTATACAGAAACTCAAGTCCAGTCTTCAAAGACAGTAACAAATTAAACTGTAAATTACTGGGTGGATCTTGCAGCATAATGACTTCATGTACCCTAGTTTTCATACAAAAGTGGAGCTTTTGGTATGTAAGCTTAAACCCTCATTTTCATCCCCAATTCTCTACCAACAGTTTGGATTATTATTCCAGTTAGTAACACTACAAAAAGGCTCTAAATTCAGAGTTTTACATCAACTTTTTAAAACAACCCTTATGTGTATCAGCCTGTGCTTAGTGATTTTTATCAGCACAGTAAAGATAGTTGTTATAGTCTACTAGGACTGTAGGGGTTTACTCCCCCCCCCCCCCCAAATAATATTTAATGCCTGTTCCAACAGAATCAGTTTTGGATCATCCATTTATTCTAAACAAATCTTGGTCCATCCATATGCTTGAAACCTAAAAGCATATGTAGTCTACTGGTAGAGAAAGCCATATTTAGATTTTATTTGTCCTGTTGTATAACCCATATTTAAAATAGGGCTTAGCACCAAGATGGCATTTTCTGCCTTTCAGTCTTTGTTTCTAGCATTAACCAAAGAAGGTTACTGATGCCTTTATATAAAGGACCATATGGATCAATCGCATTTTAATGAATAACTCTGACAGACAACTGGGCAGGCTTTAGCAATAGCTCTAATCAAAGATCTTATAAGTGAACGCTTTCTGTGTCTTTTTAAAGAAAGCAGATGGCTGGGGTTATTTATTAAGCAGTTTTGATGAAGGAAGTATGATCACAGCCCATGCAACTCAACAAGCATTTTGCTTATCCAGAACAAGAGCTAGACCTAAAGTTACTGCAAAACTACATACAGTATTCTGGTTGTTTGCTGTGATGACAGAGATACCTGTCAGAGCTCATGAAGCTGAAACACATAACTGGACGGGCTGGGTAAGTGATTAGGCAGTATATTAATTATGAAAGAGGCAGATCCTTATTTTGGTCTGAAAAGGTCAGCTATGCTGTAACAGGCACTCAATAAATATGTGGCTTTTCAGCCTGACAGAGCCCATTACAGGCTCTGTAGGTTTCTCAAACCTTAAGAAAAGCTTTTCCAAGTACCAAGGAATTGCTCTAAAGGGGACTATGCTACAGAGGGAGAGAAAAAACACTTCCCTCAGTTCAAAAAAGCTTTCAAGATTTTGTAACTCTAAGCAGTCCTAGACAATGCCTTACTTACATTACAGAGATCTTAAAGACAGGTCTATGGGCAACAGTACTGTTGAAGGACAAAAATCTCACCATCAGTAGATGCAGAAGGGCTTGTCTGAACCGCTAAGTGAGAGTCTGATGTTCAACTGGTACCCAACACATGGCACAAACACCACAGCCAGGTATGTTTACTAATACTGAATAGCTTTCATAGAGAAGTTTCTTTTAACTTGCTGGTACTCCACAGTTACGATGTGTGATGTTGCTCTAAGTGGAATTTACTTAAAAGCATCTCTATTCCCTCTCCAAGCAAACCAGTGGTTTAAACAAATACTCTTAGCTGAGTAATTCTGAATAATTAGAAGCACTCCATTACATTAAGTGTAAAAATCACCCCACACTTATAACGAAGCTTTTATGCACCAGATGTTACTATGTAAATGTGATTACTGTCTCTGATGACTTGTTACTCCCTAGGCAAAGATACCTGCTTCCAAAATGTAGCATCATTCCTGCAGAGTAGCATCTTTTGAAAACCACTACACCCTAAAGGCGCAAAACAGTGGTAATCAGTGTCATGAATTTCCTCTGAAAGCAATATATTCAACTGAATCATCTTCATAGTTTAAAAAGTATCATCAACTTGACAGTGATTTTTTTTAAGTGCTTTTGCTTAACAAAAATATTTCCTCCAAGTTCTTTATCTTCCTTTAAAATGTGTCAAAATCAAGTGCTAAAGGACAAAGAAATGATTTGGCTTTTTACTTAGAAGGTCACCTAGAAAGTTCCTACTTTCCCAGTTGTAAGCTTCTATATACATTCAATACACTACGTTCTGGACTTAGAACCACTTCGTCTCTAACAGCTTTCTTCCTTTGGCCTTTACATATCCATGGCTGTTAAAAATCATAGAATCATAGAAAAGTTAGGGTTGGAAAGGACCTTAAGATCATCAAGTTCCAACCCCCAGAATTGTACAGGCTACCACAAGTGTGTAAGTCTAAACTGTGGGAGAAAAGCCTGAAAAATCCCAGGCATTTCTTTTGACATACAAGCTGTTGAATTAAGTGCTACACCTCCCAGAATGATTCCCTACGGAAATCTGTGAGTACTATGTAGATAAGGTCTCAAACCTTAATTTATGCATATATTTTAGTATTCGTCTAAGTCCAGCCAAAAGAGGGAAAACCGTTCACTTCATCCCATTCTGCCCTGGAGGTCATTCACTGTTGGCAGCTCTAGGCATACTGCAGTCTCAGATGTGCAGTCACACTTGCTTTTTGCTTCCTGTAGATGGAGCAAGAGTCATGCCGCAGTTTAGTTCTTAGGCTAACAGTCTACCAGGGCAGAAAGTTCCTTAAAATCTGAAAGATTTGTGTTATTTTTAGCTGTGCAGTCTGCTGGATAGTACTTTAATGGCTACACTGCTGAAGGTGCAAGGCAAGGCTGTTCCTGCCCTTTCTTTCAAGCTCTTCTAAACCCCAAAGGGTTTCACTGCACCTGCCACAATCTTTCAGCTGAAATGGCATTTTCTTTACTTTCTGAAGTATCTACCTACCTAGTCCTAGTCTGTAACACCCTATCATTTTTCAAATACTAGACGCTTACTCTGTTTCCTGCGGGAGGTCTTACTTCCATTTCCACTGTTGTTGTGGGTTACCCTTCAGGATTGGCCTCTTCTCAGAAGCTGTATTTATGCAGGCCTGGGAGGAATTGCATATTTTTTGGTAGGCATTTCAGTACATTAGTAAGTTCAAAGCAAAAGGCTCAGGTTTTTTGTGAGATGGAGAAAGGAAAGGGAGTGGGAGGGTGCTCCTTCCATTTAAGAGGCTGGACATCATCAGCTTGCCACCCTTATTATTTGTATCGTATTTCTCTTTGAACACCACATGTACAAACAACTTTTATTTCCATCTTTCACACTATGCAATTAAAGACTAAGCTCCAAATTCATTAACAGAGCAGCTCCTCATTTAGATGAGGTTTAATACCTTTCTGGGATTGCTTTACACTGTAACTTCATTTTGGAATTCTACTTTCAGGTTCGTAAAAACTTACTGTACCTGAGGAGCTTGACAGGTTATCTGAATTGCTATAGCCTGTGAAATGGCAGACATATTTACATGAAACATACTAAACATTTAGTAGAGGCTAAAACTCAAATCACTAGCATGAGCAAAACTAAAAATTATATCGTGGTGCCACACAGGCAAACTATGGAACAACTGCAGTGCAGATAGATTTCACTACAAAGATGTTTGTTTGGGTTATAAAACAGAGACTTTAAATACACTGCTGTTGGTGGGAAAGTGAGGGATCTTTAGAGCCAGAGGGCTACACATTGTGAGCTGCTAGCATGCCTACCATTAAGAAATGCCATTATAACTCCCACTATCAATACTTCCATTTTAATAGACTAATATAAACCAATGCTTAGTTTGTGCATGACCCAATACTGAGGAAACACAGTTCAAAACAGTGCCACAGTGTGCCTCCTTTGAAGTTTATTCATTCACAAAACTCTTAACAGTTCACTGTACTGTAACCAGCTTGCCAGGTGACATTGACCTTAGTTTAAAAATAGAAAGGACATCCATCTCTAGAAAGGTTAGTATGAATTTCCGTGACTCAAATCAAACCCCTGAATACTGCTCTGGCTTTTCTTTAAAAGTGGTGCTTTGCAATCTTGTGGCAGCACACAAGATTCAGCCTATAACTTCAGAATATTTTACTTTAAAGCATAAGCTTTTAACATTTATCAGCTACACAAGTTATCAAACCCTAGAAACTCTGAAGCTGTAGAACAAGTGCCACCAAATGACTTCTCCTTATTAAAGCCCCTAGCCTTCAATAACTCTTCATGTATTTGCAAGCACAGCTCAGAACTGAACATGGCTGGCAGTTTGTGTCTTACTCCAGAACATCATTAAAAATATACCCCAAAAGCACGGCTACTGTAGTATAAGTGAATAAAAATTGTTTTACCTTCTGAGCAAAACACCCCTGTGCTAGCACCACTCAAGAACTCTGCTGGGTTCTCTTCTACATTTAGAAGCAGTTTTCTCTTGTGGTATCTAAGCACTGATGATGCTGGCACTTTGAGTCATTTACAACAGGCAGCCTCTTACTGAAATCCTGATGACAACACATATTCTAAGCAGCTACAGACCAGCTTAACATACAACACACTGAAAGGTATTAAAAGCATTTGCCTAAACCATGTGTTTATATGTAACTGATTTTAAGATTAATTTTGTGTGATAACACTTAAATAAAACATGGATCAAAAGAGCTTTTTACAAGTGAAGGAGGCTGGCCTGTGTCTTCAGGACTCAAAACAGCCTAGGGTTGCTGAATAATGCAGTTCTTGACCAGAACCATCATGATGCGTGAAAAAATCTTGCTCTGCCATGAGATAAAAAGTGAGGGCAAGAACAAAACTGAACCATGGAAAAGCCTCTTCACATCATCACAGCAGGTACTCACTCCTATTTTACTTTTTCTGATTTGCCTTTTTTTTGCCTGCTGATGTGAAAGCACACCCAAAGGGAAAAAGATCATTCAGAAGTAACCAACATTTTGGTATGTGTATGAACTAGAGAAGCTCACAAAGTCTGGGCAGCGTATGCGCTCCAGTTGGGCTTTTACATTAACAGAGAAATTTGTACTAAGTTTATACTACATGATGTATCATCCAGTAATGTTCTGTACCAATTCCTTAGCTTAACCTTCTCCAGCACTCAGGACCCCATGCACTGCAGAAATCTGCAAGCAGAGCTACAGCCAGGACTTGGTAATGTTCCTCAGGATATTCCTAGGGAATAACCATGTGAAGTAGAAAACTAGTTATCAGCCCCCAGATCACGACTCTCACTGGTATACTGTTCTGCCTGAAGTCAGGCAGAGCTTTGTGTGTAGCACTGCATTCCCTGCAAGCTGAGAAGCTAGGCCACTCAAGCAACTTCCAATAGTCAAACATCCAGCAGCTTTTGTGACATACTAACTACAGACAGCTCCCTTTGAGATAATCATTCTTCACCATGAAAGAAAAACCCCCCAAACATATGACTACAGTTCAGTCAGCTCTAGTTTGACATGGAGATGAGATTTTACAATCCCTCATCTTGGACTGTGCCTTAGGTCAGATCAACAATTAAAACTACCAGTGCTCACAAGAACACTGAGCCAATGACCATGCTTTTTAATCCCACCCATCAACAAGTGACAATGGGAAATACCAGGACTTTCCCCAGAGGCGCTATCACCTAGAAGCCTAAATCTTTGCTGACTCACTCCTAGAAACCTGTATCTTTGCTCCTTAGACAACCTTGTGGTTGGCTGCCTCCTTTACTTTTACAAATACACAAGCACTTATTTGAGTATGTCTTGCGCAGCTTGAAATTGGTTCCTCCAGCAAAACTGGATGGTCAGAAAGCCTGGAATAACTTTGTATCAGTATGGCTTATTTTTTACTTAAACCTTGCTGCATGAAGGCTGCCAAGAGCATTGAATACTGAACTAATCCGCTCCCTGTGTAAGAGGGGAGGAGGATTACAAACACAGTTCACAGAAGATCTCATTCTGACACCAAATAGCAGGCAGCATTTGGTACAAGTTGATCTATATCAAGTTCCAAGCCCCTACAGCCCAGCAGAACCAGTCTTAAGGCTAAGCAAGCTAAACTACTACATAGCACAACTAATTAAAAAAAAAACCCAAACAACATATTATACATACTAATTAGCAACAGTATTAATGTGTTTTGTGAACAGTAGTGGTCAAACTGGGACATGAAAACTGTTAAGACTAGCAGCAATGCTGTAGTTCACTCACTTGCCAGGATGCATCCACTTTCTTCGAAACCTTATACCTTCTATTTAAAAAGTATGCTATAAAGCATTAAGAGTTAATCAGTGGTTGCCTATGCACTGCATAATTTCTAGCTAAGTCAAGTGACTGATTTCTCTTGAAGTTTTGTTTGGCTTACAGTCCTGGCTGTTAGATACTGAAGTAACATTTAACAGTTTGCCCCGGAAAAATAAATAGCAAGTTAAACCCCAAATATCTGAATTTGAAATTTAAGTGCTATACTAGAGTGGGAAACTGCACTAACTCATTAAGACTTAAAGCTCTGTTTTGCCTACAGATAGGGGCAGAGATACAAAGGCAGACTATATCTATGGTGCTTTCTTGATAGATAAACAGCCTTAAGTATACTTAACAAGGCATTTTTATTGTTGAGTTCTCAACTGCTCAGATAGATCAGTTTCAAATCCATTTAGTTTGGAATCTTCTCAGAGGTCTGTTTATTTCTCTTTCTTATGTAGCTACACATTAATGGTTAGTTCACCTTCAGTCTGTTCCAGGAGAGCTGCGAGTCATATGTTTTCTGCACAAACACAGAAATGCTACACTACTGTAATATGTCATTTGGCATAAAGTCACAGTTCCACTTCCAGTAAGTGTTTATAAAGGCAGACAGAAATTTAGCTATGAAATGAAAGCGTGCTGGGAAGCAAGCTAATTAGTTCACCTCACCACATTATACCCCAATTCTAACACACACGGCAGCTCTTTGAAATTCAAAAATATAGAAGTCTCAGTCAAATCCTGAGACAAAGGCGGTCGAATTCCCTCTTTCATCTTGGTTCCCCTATGAAGACAGCAGCAGCAGCAAGAAGATGGATTTCGGTTTTACTGTTACCTCTTCATACACCTCTCTGACAGCTGCTCCCCCTGGTTCTTCTTCCGGTTCCATTCCTCCACCTGGTACAATCCACTGATCTGGGTATCGGCTACTGCTTACCAACAGCACCTATAAATAATAGCAAATGACCGTTAAATATAGTTCACAAGTCAGGAATACTGGTACTATCTATTTTTCCAGCAATTCATTCATTCACCTAGCCAGATGGATTATAGACTTTAGAAATCAAACAAAACAGGCAACCAGGAGTTGCAAGAAGTGAAAAAGAAAGGTGAGATTATTAAAACCCAGTCTTTTTAATACAAGTAAGTCAAGATGATGTCACTGTACTCTCCTTACACAAACACTTTCATCAGATGCTTAGACACTGTGAAAAACAGACAGTACAATACACTCAGGAATGTACACTTTCTGTACAACAGAAATCTAATAGCATTGTTCTCCATTACTGAGTAAGTCCTAGGGTCATATAGACCGTGAAGCATGATATTTCAGACATTTTCATCACAGAGAAGTTAAACAAGCTTCTTTTCAGTTACTGAAGTATTTATGTTATTATGGTACACTTCCAGTATTGCATAACTACATTATAAGGAGAGTACTTAATTGGTCCTTGTCCAATTTGGTTTCTTCTAAGATTTTTGTAAGAGGAAAAGCTGCCACTCACTGAATTTTAAATTCTTTCAGAATTTAGTAACTTTCTTCCCCAAAACACTGTAATGTCACTTACTTTGACTCTGTAATCTGGACAGATCATTGATATATACCAATTTAAAACCCGCTGTCTATAGGGCCTGTCCCTCATAATATTCAGAGCTGAGAATATTTTAGCCTCCAGTCCAAAAAACTAGGATGCCTCATATTTGGAGTAATTTGCTGTAGAAGTTGACGAAAATTAGACCTTGAGTCAGAACTACATGGAAACCAAACAGCTTAACTTGTATCAGAGAGCCATCCTGGTAAGACACATAATCATCTGTGTAGTAACATGCTTTATAGTCTAGGCAATACTTATATAAGCCCTACTCTGAAGTCAAATGACAACTGTGGGGAGGCAAAGGCCAGGGTCAGTGCTCAAATCTTTAATAGCACTTAAAGACTAGCAACAAGAACCTCAGTCTAAAGGTTAAAGTATTGACTAGTGTCAAATGGCTGAAGTGACAGGCTAGTCTTCACCAAACTTTATGGTCTTTAAACTCATCCTCTGTTGGATTAAGCAGGGAAACAATTCCTTGATGAGAGCAACAGAGAAATGCTTATCACTTACACTACATCCCTTTGGCATTCACAGAAATGCAGTGTAAGTTCACCTACAGGAACTGGGAATGTTAATTAAGATGACTGCATGCTTTTGTGAATGCAACGAGTGTGCATGCTGAGGTGCAGCTAGCAGAACCTTATCCAACATGTCTTATTTATTTGATGTTTATTTTATTTGCAGTCAAGATTAGTGTTACTGTCCACTGTAAGAGAGTAACACTATTAGGATTAGGATTCTCCACCCTATTCCCCCAGATTTTCCCTACAACAAATAAGGAACACAGCAGAGCCCTCATTTAGCACAGAATAGTTTTTAGCCTCTGATTTAAATGTTCACATTTCCAGTCAACATAAATACTTTTTTCAGTTATCTAAAAAACCTAGAATAAGTCAGTAAAGGCAGCAAGGTCAGACACAAATGCATCTCAACTTTGTCTTTACAGCCAAAGGCTTTAGTTTCCTAGGATCCTTTGACATTAACAGAAGGTTAATGCGTTCCCAGAAGGTATGCAGCTTTACTAGATGTAAAGACAGTTTTTGAAACACAGATGGATCTATATCACTACAAAGAACCACCACCTCAGCAGCTCTTAAACAGCAGTTGTAAAACTCAAGTTATGAATTCACTTGTGGGATCCCAGACATAAGCATTACACATTATTTTCTGCTGATGAAACTAACACTCACTGCAGTCATGTGGAAGCTAGCAACAATGATGAACAAAAGGATGATTACATCACATGAAATCATTCCCAGCTTAGCAGAATGGTTTTAATCAGCATTCATTGTTTAGTTAAGGCTAAACATAAAATTCTTAGTTACTACTAAGGGATAAATCAGGTTGCTGGTTCGGGCCGTGTACCATAAAGCCAGGAATTTTTTATGCCTTCCTATATATATAGCACAGACTACTGCTAACCTGATCAATAGTCTATTGAGCTGGGTTTATATATCTGTTAGCTTTAAATTACCCTTTTAAGAAGCAGAAACAATACACATTAAAATAGATCAGCTCTGGTACATGGGCTTTACATAAGATAAACTTCCAAGCATTACAGCTTGGAAGCTCATTTTGGCAGCTACCCAAGTCTCCACTAACCCTGGAACGAAAGCATTTTCTTAAGCATCTTTCCCTCTATGCTTTATTCTCCTGTAACCCCACTGCTTTTACAGGACGAATACAAGGGACCACACTAAGGTATATCCCCAAGACTTTCAGGTGCACAATTTCTTCCACCCAGTAACATTAAGATTTGAAGCCACAAGGGCATGAGGCATCCATCACTGGGTGTGCTAGCAAAAACATACTCAGTGGTAATCAGTTTCTGTACGAGCTAAGAACCAATAGCTAGCAGTTAGAAGACTCTGTGGTACAGCTGAAAAGCATTCCACACAGATTCTTTCAGTTATGGTAGCAAGCAATCTTGCACTAAATAGCGTATTTTTTGGTTTTGTTCTGTTGTTCTTTATTCTATGTAGTGGGTGTAATTTTCAGGTGTTTTCGTCTCTAAGTGGCAAGAAAATACATCTCACATTACCTGAATGACTAGACTGTAAGTATAAAGATCACTTAAAGATGAGGACACCAAAAAGCTGTGGTTAGTTGACAGTGCACTCATATGCTAAAGAGGTGCAAAATTAACAGCAAAAAGCCAGCAATTCACCTTCGCTTAATACAAGATAATCAAACCAGGAGAAGAGAGATCTAAGTTGCCTGGACACCCAATCTTTTCTGAGGATGTTCATGTTCACACTAATTTAGTACTCTACTGAAAAGCAAGGCTGCAAAATCTCATACACCTACGTATTTTCTGACCTATGCACACCAAATTTTACACCATAACCTCATTAGGCTCAGAACACTGGAAGGACTTCCCATGCAGAGAAAGCTGTGTCTGTATCTTTGAATGCAGAGAAAGGAATGAGATTTGTGTTGCATTACTTGCTTGTGATCATGTCTCTGAAAACGCCTTACTCTTGATGATTCCTGTTCAAAAGACTTCCAAAGTACACAGCAATGGCATCAAATCCGCTTGCCTAGTTATAGTGTGAAGCTCATCCTCAAAGACTAAGGTAAAGCGATTATTTCCATAATACTGCCAACCGAGGAAGCAAAGCTGCAGAATTCATCTAAGAGAAGAAAAATTCTTCCACTAAGTCTTACTAGCCAAGTTTTTACCTTGTTTTCAATTCCTGGAATAGCAATGACCTTTTGAGTGCAGTGAGGAAGAGAAGCTGTTAGCCAGTCTACTTGTAATAAGCACCTATTGATATGCTCAACCAAGACGTGGTTAACCAAGAACCCGAAGGTAATTACAGAGCACATGGCACCATGGGACTTGCTCACTATAAATGCCAAGCCCGAAGACAAACAACTGGACATTTCTAGAGAAAGATGCCAAAAGTTTTGGCCTGTTTAGTGTTCTCAAGTCAAAAGAAACTTGTGAAACAGTTAGCTGCCATATATTCCAGAAGACTAAAATGGCAACAGCTCAGAGTAATATAAGTTATAACCACAAGTTATTCCTCTCTGTATAATGTTTTTCTCTCCATATCAAGCACTCAAAAGGTAGAAAATGGCTTAAGGTTATACAAAGATATCATTGTTTTCTATCTTCCTTAATTGTAGGGCATTGCAGCTTACCAAAATAATTAAAACAGAGGTTATGTTGAAAAAAAGCAAGGCTAAGGTTGAACCTTGCTACACAGAAAAAATGGCCACAGCGGGATTCTTTTGATTTCAGAGCAGTCATCCACAATTTGAATGACGCAAGAGCAGCAGAAGCTACTATAACCAGCTGTAAGGCGAGTATTTTTCTATAGCAGATACATAACTTGCAAGGAAAAACTAACTTACAGTTGGAAGGATACCATTCCAATTCCACAAAAGTTTGTCATTAGACATCTTTAAGCTCTACCCTCCCAGCCTAATCACACCTATTCCTCTCTTCCCCACTGCACACCCCATTTTCTTCCGTCATCATTCCCCCTAATCCACTAGCTATGTCCAATTTACTGTTTCAATTACCTGATGGAGATAGCCAAGTTCGCCTTTTTTTATAGTAAAACTGGCAGTTAAAAGGAACAACTTTCAAGAGGAAGGGAGTCAACTTCTCACCTCCAAAAGACCACCGAGCATGTGTGGTTCAGTTGCCAAGAACACTGTGTTGCTCAGGTGTACTGGTCCGAGTTACAGGAAAGATTGTAAAGGCAGTAAAAGGTACCTCTCAGGTACAAAACAGTGTCAAAATTCTGTCAGAGATAACAGATGTACTGAATGTTGTCACAGGCATCAGGAAACATTAAGGAAAAAATCCAGCCTACTTAGGAAAGAATTAAAAAAAAAAAGCCAACCAAAGCCCAGGATCCACATTGATGGAAGTTAATATAGTATAGCCTAGCACAATCAGTATGGAAACTTCAGCCTAAATGGTTGTTCTGCCAACGCTACAAGCACTTGAAAGGATCATAAAGCTGGTTTAATCCAAATACAGTCAAAACAGTCAGTCAAGCCCTATGTTTTGTTTAAAAATGGCCATAAGCAGATGCTTAGGGAAGATGACAAGTAGAAAATATTTTAATACTCCACAACACTTCCAACCTCCAATTGTTTTCAGCTCAGGAGCTTCCTTAAAAGTACTGGGAAACAACTCTGAATGCTACAATGGAGATTTACTGAGGAGCAAGAAAAAGCACCTCTTACAAACCCTGGATTGTATTTCCAGGATTCACTGTATGAATTCCTAGGCAAAAGCACACATCTCCAATTACAGAGCACATGTCAGCCTGCTACTGTAGTTAAGAGATTTCCTTTATCAAATGCTTTCTGCTATTTTATGAATCAATCC